TGAAAAAATATGGCGCAGGTTTCAAAATGCAGGAAGGATCTTTGAAGACAAAAATGGAAAAGGAAAGACTACTGAAACTAATACATCTGAAGAAGCTGGCAATGCTAGTTGTATCAAGCGTACATGCATGTCGATGTGAATATAAAAAAGAAATCCCGAAAAATAATATTTGTGAAAAAGCCCGCAATGCCAATACATACAAAAAAAGTGGAAGAAAAACTGAGTATTAAAATGATTCAAAAAAAAAAAAATTACATTTGAGGTACTGGACTGTGGTCCTCTTGGGTCCCACAGTGCATTTCGCACAAAATTTTTTGCCGCTTGCTGGTTCAAGCGGGGCGCCAACTTTCGATCTTTGATCTGTTTCAATCGACCCATGTATTTTTTGGTTCGTTTCTGAAAAAAAGAAAAAAAAAAATCTTACATATTATACAGATTCTCGCGATGCACATCTTATACATGGCGGATAGGAGGCTGTACTGTTGATTCCTGCTCCAACTCGCGATTTATCTGTTTATGGCTAAGGGATGAGACACAGAATGCATCACGATCTATTCATCGATATATGCTTTTTTTTGAGGTCTAATATCACTATTTTCATATTAATTTTTAAAAAATTCCTTTTCACAATCTACAGATTTCAAAAATGCGGGGAAAAATCCTAAAATAACTAGACCAAGAGCAACAAGGTTTCCCAGCGCACGACAGAAATTCGTTGAAAAATGCCTGAACAAACTAACAATATCGTTCTGTAGCAGTTCGTTTTCCTTCGGTTTTCGTCCATAAGTGCACAGCAGCATCCAGCACAATGAGTTGATCACGAACACAGAAGTTAGATCCACTTCAACCATTTTCAGTGCTGGCCTCTAAAATTGAAAAAATGTAAATATCACAGAAACATCCCAGAATAACAACAATAATACATTTCCTCAAAAAAAAATCTGACTTGTAACAATCGTGGGAATCAGGACGGAACAAAATTAGATGGACCGAAACATTCCTATTCAAAATTTTATTCAGATTTTAACTTATTCACATTCCCCTTTTATTCCCTTACTTCTTACATATACACAAACCATCTAAAATTAAAATTACAATAGGTTATGAAATCGGTCCCAGCCATTATCATGATTCACCACAAAGCGCCAAAAAGCCGTACCAGGGTTTATGCAAGTTCACGCTATGCTACTTGGTAACGATAGCTCGACGCTGTAGTGTCGATACCACATGGATTTTAACAGTTTGATGTCTGGAATTTTAGGATTTTCAGAATGTCAACACAAACTGAGCCGGCAGCCAAACGAATCAAATCCGACAACCATTTGGGGTTAGAGAGAAAATATGAGCAGAAAACGATGAAAGGGTTCCAAAGAATTATTTAAGTAGGCAAGAAATGTTTCGGTCCATTAATTCGTATACATTTCTTACCGTTACCACAATTGGACCTCGTCAGCACGACGACTGTGGTATGAAATAATTTAGTAAGGCGTAAGAATTAATTCAGACAGAGATATAGTTCGGAAGAAATGAAAGAAGTGGAAGAAATGGAAGAAAATAGAAGAAATGTTAGAAATAGAAAAGCTATAAAGTTATAAAAGCCATAAAGTTAAATGCTATAAAGTCATGTTCTTCGTGTTAGTTTTGACGTTTTGCTTCATTTTTATAAAATTCCTTTCTATCTTTTCACTTGGACACATTTGCTGTTTCACATGTTAGTTAGGGAGCTGTACTGATGATTCCCACCTCTAACCACTCCTTCAGTTTTCTGTGTTTACAGCTAAGGGATGAAACAGAGACAAATATTCCTCCTAAATATTCTCAGTAGATGGGATATGAATATGTCACATTGATTATAATACATATTCCAAAACACTATCTTCCAATCCCATTAGCTTATTCCACATGGAATATCTAAGTTGAATTTTCCTATTTCATTTTATTTGGGGAATAAAACAGGATAGGAAGGGAGAGCCATAGAAGCCCAGCCAAAATTAATCATTTCAAGCAGGACGGGAGGGGAGACCGAAGTCGTGAAGTGGTAATTTGCGGCTGTGGGTTGGCCGAAGTCGTGAAGTGGTAATTTGCGGCTGTGGGTTGGCCGAAGTTGTGAAGTGGTAATTTGCGGCTG